TTTCTTCTATTGTCCATGGGGAAGTGGAAAAGAATCTTTCCTCCGTAAGCCATGCGTGTCGTATGAGGCGACTAAAATGCCGGGAGCAATGGGCTAGTAACCCCTTCTCCTGTAGACATTTACTAAAAAAGAGAAGAAAAACTTTATAAAACTGGGATGCTTGAATGTGCGTGGATGTAGTGCAGATGACAAGAAACAGATGATTGCTGATGTTATGAATGAAAAGAAGTTGGATGTCCTGGCCCCTAAGTGAAACAAAGCTGAAGGGGGTAGGGGAGTTTCGGTGGGGGGAAATAAATGGGATTAAATCTGGAGTATCTGAGAGAGTTAGAGCAAAGGAAGGGGTAGCAGTAATTTTGAAGGATCAGTTATGGAAGGAGAAAAGAGAATATGAATGTGTAAATTCAAGAATTATGTGGATTAAAGTAAAGGTTGGATGCAAAAAGTGGGTCATAATAAGCGTGTATGCACCTGGAGAAGAGAGGAATGTAGAGGAGATAGAGAGATTTTGGGAGATGTTAAGTGAATGTATAGGAGCCTTTGAACCAAGTGAGAGAGTAATTGTGGTAGGGGACCTGAATGCTAAAGTAGGAGAACTTTTAGACGGGGGTGTGGTAGGTAAGTTTGGGGTGCCAGGTGTAAATGATAATGGGAGCCCTTTGATTGAATTTTTGTATAGAAAGGGGTTTACTTATAGGTAATACATATTTTAAAAAAAAGAGGTTTAAATAAGTATACAAGATAGGATGTAGGGCGAATGACAGTAGTTTGTTGGATTATGTATTGGTAGATAAAAGAGTGTTGAGTAGACTTCAGGATGTACATGTTTATAGCGGGGCCACAGATATATCAGATCACTTTCTAGTTGTAGCTACACTGAGAGTAAAAGGTAGATGGGATACAAGGAGAATAGAAGCATCAGGGAAGAGAGAGGTGAAGGTTTATAAACTAAAAGAGGAGGCAGTTAGGGTAAGATATAAACAGCTATTGGAGGATAGATGGGCTAATGAGAGCATAGGCAATGGGGTCAAAGAGGTATGGGGTAGGTATGCAGTGTTAGAGTGTTCAGCAGAAGTTTGTGGTTACAGGAAAGTGGGTGCAGGAAAGAGGAGCGATTGGTGGAATGATGATGTAAAGAGAGTAGTAAGGGAGAAAAAGTTAGCATATGAGAAGTTTTTACAAAGTAGAAGTGATGCAAGGAGGGAAGAGTATATGGAGAAAAAGAGAGAGGTTAAGAGAGTGGTGAAGCAATGTAAAAAGAGAGCAAATGAGAGAGTGGGTGAGATGTTATCAACAAATTTTGTTGAAAGTAAGAAAAAGTTTTGGAGTGAGATTAACAAGTTAAGGAAGCCTAGAGAACAAATGGATTTGTCAGTTAAAAATAGGAGAGGAGAGTTATTAAATGGAGAGTTAGAGGTATTTGGAAGATGGAGGGAATATTTTGAGGAATTGTTAAATGTTGATGAAGTTAGGGAAGCTGTGATTTCATGTATAGGGCAAGGAGGAATAACATCTTGTAGGAGTGAGGAAGAGCCAGTTGTGAGTGTGGGGGAAGTTCGTGAGGCAGTAGGTAAAATGAAAGGGGGTAAGGCAGCCGGGATTGATGGGATAAAGATAGAAATGTTAAAAGCAGGTGGGGATATAGTTTTGGAGTGGTTGGTGCAATTATTTAATAAATGTATGGAAGAGGGTAAGGTACCTAGGGATTGGCAGAGAGCATGCATAGTTCCTTTGTATAAAGGCAAAGGGGATAAAAGAGAGTGCAAAAATTATAGGGGGATAAGTCTGTTGAGTATACCTGGTAAAGTGTTTTGGTAGAGTTATTATTGAAAGAATTAAGAGTAAGATGGAAAATAGGATAGCAGATGAACAAGGAAGCTTTAGGAAAGGTAGGGGTGTGTGGACCAGGTGTTTACAGTGAAAACATATAAGTGAACAGTATTTAGATAAGGCTAAAGAGGTCTTTGTGGAATTTATGGATTTGGAAAAGGCGTATGACAGGGTGGATAGGGGAGCAATGTGGCAGATGTTGCAGGTGTATGGTGTAGGAGGTAGGTTACTGAAAGCAGTGAAGAGTTTTTATGAGGATAGTGAGGCTCAAGTTAGAGTATGTAGGAAAGAGGGAAATTATTTCCCAGTAAAAGTAGGCCTTAGACAAGGATGTGTGATGTCACTGTGGTTGTTTAATATATTTATAGATGGGGTTGTAAGAGAAGTAAATGCGAGGGTCTTGGCAAGAGGCGTGGAGTTAAAAGACAAAGAATCACACATAAAGTGGGAGTTGTCACAGTTGCTCTTTGCTGATGACACTGTGCTCTTGGGAGATTCTGAAGAGAAGTTGCAGAGATTGGTGGATGAATTTGGTAGGGTATGCAAAAGAAGAAAATTAAAAGTGAATACAGGAAAGAGTAAGGTTATGAGGATAACAAAAAGATTAGGTTATGAAAGATTGGATATCAGATTGGAGGGAGAGAGTATGGAGGAGGTGAATGTATTCAGATATTTGGGAGTGGACGTGTCAGCGGATGGGTCTATGAAAGATGAGGTGAATGATAGAATTGATGAGGGGGGAAAGGGTGAGTGGTGCACTTAGGAGTCTGTGGAGACAAAGAACTTTGTCCTTGGAGGCAAAGAGGGGAATGTATGAGAGTATAGTTTTACCAACGCTCTTATATGGGTGTGAAGCATGGGTGATGAATGTTGCAGCGAGGAGAAGGCTGGAGGCAGTGGAGATGTCATGTTTGAGGGCAATGTGTGGTGTGAATATAATGCAGAGAATTCGTAGTTTGGAAGTTATTAGGAGGTGCGGGATTACCAAAACTGTTGTCCACAGGGCTGAGGAAGGGTTGTTGAGGTGGTTTGGACATGTAGAGAGAATGGAGCAAAACAGAATGACTTCAAGAGTGTATCAGTCTGTAGTGGAAGGAAGGCGGGGTAGGGGTCGGCCTAGGAAAGGTTGGAGGGAGGGGGTAAAGGAGGTTTTGTGTGCGAGGGGCTTGGACTTCCAGCAGGCATGCGTGAGCGTGTTTGATAGGAGTGAATGGAGACAAATGGTTTTTTTTAATACTTGACGTGCTGTTGGAGTGTGAGCAAAGTAACATTTATGAAGGGGTTCAGGGAAACCGGCAGGCCGGACTTGAGTCCTGGAGATGGGAAGTACAGTGCCTGCACTCTGAAGGAGGGGTGTTAATGTTGCAGTTTAAAAACTGTAGTGTAAAGCACCCTTCTGGCAAGACAGTGATGGAGTGAATGAAGGCGAAAGTTTTTCTTTTTCGGGCCACCCTGCCTTGGTGGGAATCGGCCAGTGTGATAATAATAATACAATAATAATAATAATAATAATGTTTTACTTTACTTTTTATGCTATTAGTACTGTATTTTATACTGTAAGGTTTACCTGGAGTTTACCTGGAGAGAGTTCCGGGGGTCAACGCCCCCGTGGCCCGGTCTGTGACCAGGCCTCCTGGTGGATCAGAGCCTGATCAACCAGGCTGTTGCTGCTGGCTGCACGCAAACCAACGTACGAGCCACAGCCCGGCTGATCCGGAACTGACTTTAGGTGCTTGTCCAGTGCCAGCTTGAAGACTGCCAGGGGTCTGTTGGTAATCCCCCTTATGTGTGTAGGATAAACACTGTGTACAACACAAATAGTTGTTTATTTCCCAGAAATTTGGCATAAAAAACACGGTCGCAAGTCGAGTGGTCGTAAGTCGAGCAGGTCGTAAGTCGGATGGTAGGTGTATTTAGATATAGGTACACATAAGGAGGATTATCAAAGTACATATAAAATATGCAATAACTTTAAAACGCTTGAAATTCTGGAAAGTTTCCAGACATAATAGAGATACGTGGTCATGGAGAACGTAAACAAACCAAGTGGTGCGCAACGTATTAGAAAGACGGGAGCCGTATAACAAGTTTTGGTCATAATTTGAAACTGCTGTATTAGTGGAACACCATAAGGTGAAACGTCATAAAGCGGGGCCCTACTGCATAGAAAATTAAACTGCAATATAAACCCTCCTTTCAAACTTGATAGCTACAACAAAACACACAGGCATAACACAAGGCACAATACTCTCTTTGACATCCCTCGTGTCTGTCTCACCCTACGCAAAAATGAAATGCAAATAAAGGACCCTAAGATGTGAAATTCATTGCCTGAACCAGCAAAAAGGCCCTGTCTGCCAACACATATTAAATCATTCAGCCAATTTGAAACTACTTAAGAAATTCCAAAAAACTTTAGGACAGCTAGCTCTATATAAAATAATAATACACCCTTAAAAGTATACTGTTTTAACACTAAGTTGTACTAACTGTAATACTGTTATTTTTTTTTACTACTTCTCTACTATAATCTTATTTATTATAATATTTTGGCTAGCTCTCTACTGTAATATAATGAATAATTAAAATTTACCACTCCATAACCCATGTCTAGTTTTAGTAGTCTGTAAGCATTGATTAGTGTGCCCGAAATGCTCAAGCATGTTAGTGGCTTTCTTTGTACTTAACAACATTTTATAAAATGTAAAGTATACATTGTAACCTTTACAAAGAAATAAAAATTTGTATTTGTATATCTTCCTAACAAATAAAACAGTGTAGCGAAAAAATTTGATTTTTGCCCATTTCCTGAGGACAGTTTAACCCCCTTCATCCCCAGTCTGTTTCAAGGGTTTTCAATAGGTCTGATTTAATTGTCAGTTTGGATTCAGACCAAAAGAAATAAATGATGCAATAACAAAAAAAAAATTAAACTATGCAATCACCACACACACCCATTCTCTCATATCTAGGCCAAAATTTACCGCTCACAGCTTATCTGAGGGAGCCGAGCTCATTGTATAGAAGTACATGAGGGCCCCAGGCCTCAATGACATAGTTCTACATGATGGCCACTGAAATGGCATTAAATGTTGAAGACTTCTGAATTTATCAAATTCAGACACATTACAAATAATACATTTATTATAATGGTATAAAAAACTGACCACCTTACCTTGATGTCTTGAAACCGAGTGAAAAGCTCTGCTATGGCTTCCTGAGCATTGAGTAATGATGCACGTCCATCCTGAAATATTACAGCATATTAAGCATAAAAATTGCAATTCTGCACAGAATTTGGTGAACCACAAGAAACAGAACCTACCACCCATAAGGACTATATCACACTTTTTACCTCAATATGTCTCCTTCTGCCTGTTTTTTTTTCCTATGATTCCAATTTTATATACTGAAAAATCAACCCAGATATCAGTTAGCTAGTGCTATCCATGTAACAACCAAAGCAGACACAGTTGACTTGGGGAGGTGGTGGTTTCGATAGTTCACCATCATGTGCCACAACTATTGGACCAAACCACGGATCTTTGCTCTAATTGCCTTGAGTGGGAGGAGTAGTCTTAATATTAAGCCTGTCACTCTAGCTCTGTTTGCCTCTTCATCTGCTTTTTCATTACCTGGTGTCTCCTTGTGCCTTGATTTTCATTCAAACACTACCTGACTGACCCCTATAACATCAAGAGGATTTAAGTATTAAGTGTGAAACACAATACTTTAAGTATTAAGTGTGTTGAATGTCATTAATGCTCTGCAGGACTGTAGCATACAGTTCTGCATTACATATTTTAGAGGACGAAGGCAAACAGTATCTCTCACAACATTCCTCAGTCACATACACACTAGCCATCTCATCCCCCACTCTTGAGCAGGGAATAAGATGGTAAAGTTCTGGGACTGGAGCTCCCAGAGCTTTGCTTGTGTTATCTCCATATGTCCTTTGTGCCCATTTGAAGTGAAAATCGAAAGTATCATCCTGAACATGCTCCCTATTATTACTATTTTTTCCATGTCTTCTATCCATCCTTGTGGTACAGTGACACATTCCAGGCCATCACAGTCAGTAGATGATGCAATCAAAGGGTGTGAAATTCACGAGAGAAAGTTGTCATTTATTGCTGCACTTGTAGGATCTCCCTATGCCTACTGAGAGGACATATCACCTCAGCCTCCAGTTATTTGGAATCTCTCTCTTCGAGTGTTTCCAGAATTGTTCAAATACAGTAGAACCTCTACTTACGAGTGCATCCACGTGCGAGTTTTCCAGATACGAGCAGCTGCTCGGTCGAGTAGTGAAAGTGGTGGGTGGAGTACTGGTAGTGGTGGGTGGAGTACTGGTAGTGGTGGGTGGAGTAGTGAGGGTGGTGGATGGAGTAGTGATAATGGTGGGTGGAGTAGAGATGGTGGTGGGTGGAGTAGAGATGGTGGTGGGTGGAGTAGTAGTAGTGAAGATGGTGGGTGGCGCAGAGATGGTGGTGGGTGGAGTAGTGAGAGTGGTGGATGATGTAGTGATAATGGTGGGTGGAGTAGATATGGTGGTGGGTGGAGTAGTGAGGGTGGTGGGTATAATAGAGATGGCGGTGGGTGGCGTATACAATATTTCTTATTTTTCCTGGGGGCTGGAACTGATTAATGGCATTTCAATTAATTTCAATGAGGAAAATTTATTTGATAAATGAGCAAACTGAATTATGAGCTTGGTCATAGAACTGTATTTTTGAATGTTCATACAGTAGTATACTGTATACTGAAATAAACAGAATAGAGGAAATCAGCTCTAATATATATTATTTAGGTATGAATACTGGTCAGAGAGCCCGTCGTAAGTCCAAGGCGTTGGTAAACGAGTGCATCGCTAAGTGAGGAGAGGCTGTACATTATTATGTATCTTTCTTGCCTGCGTTCCAAGGAGTAAAGGTCAAAGGACTTCAATCCTTCCCAGTAATTCAGGTGCTTTTGGCACTTATACATGCAGTGAATGTTCTCTGTATATTCTCCAGGTCTACAAGGGGCCATTAGTGTACAGCAATATTCCAGCCTAGAGAGAACAATCGATTTGAAGAGAATCATCATTGGCTTGGCATCCCTAGTTTTGAAGATTCTTATTATCCAGCCTATCATTTTCCTAGCAGATGTGGTAGATACACTGCTGTGATCTTTCAAAGTGAGATCCTCTGACATTATCACTCCCAGGTCCCTCACATTAGTTTTTCGCTATAAAGTGTGACTGGAAATTTGTTTTATACTCCGATACAGTTTTTATTCACTTTAGTTGTCTATAGCGTAGTAATTTAAATTTTCTTCCTTGAACTTCATATTGTTTTCTGACACCCATTTAAAGGCTTACTTCATGTCCGCTTGGAGGTTTGCAGTGTTCTCAATGGATGACACTGTCATGTAAATTCTGGTATCGTCAGCAAAGGAGGACACAGTGGTGTGATGCGGGTTCGCTGGTGCTGTCCCGGCCCGGGCCTTTTCCAGGTGGTGACCCTGGCAGCGGTGCTGTGGCTTACATATCTGTCTGTCAGATATGAAGATGAGGAAAAGGGAGGGGGTGGAGCAAATACTGTACCTTGTGGAACAGTGCTTTTCGCTATAGCCTCCTCTGACTTTACTCTGTTTACTTTTACTCTTTGTTTTCTATTTGTTAAGAAGTTATAGATCCATCTACCAACTTTTCCAGCTATTCCTTTATCATGCATTTTGTGTGCTATTACACCATGATTGCAACTGTTGAAGGCTTTTGCAAACTCTGTGGCTACTACACCTGCATTTTGATTGTTCTCTAGTACATCCAAGACCATGTCATAGTCATCCAGTAGCTGTGAGAGGCAAGAGCAACCTGCTCTAAACCCATGCTGCCCTGGGTTGTGCAACTGTTGAGTATCCAAGTGGTTGGCTATCTTGCTTCATAGAACCCTTTCAAAGATTTTTATGAAGTGGGACATTAGTGCACTTGATCTGTAATTCTTTGCAATTGCTTTACTACCACCCTTTTGGAGTGGGGCTATATCTGTTGTTTTCAGTGATGGTGGGATGACCCCTGCATCCATGCTACTTCTCCAGTTTTTGCACTTCTTGATGAACATGGAGTTCCACGAGTCTGGGCCTGGGGAAGAGTGCATGAGCATGTCAGTTATTGCTTTTCCAAAGTCCTGTGGTGTTAGGATTATATCAGAAATTCTTAAATTAACCAAATTTTGAGTCTTGGTCATAAAAATTAATTTAAGATTGTCGACCTTTAGTCTGATTAATGGTTCACTAAATGCTGAGTCATACTGGGGCTTCAGTATCTCACTCATTTCTTTGTTATCATCTGTGAAGTCCCATCTTATTTAATCCAAGGCCCAATACTGGATGTGATTTTTTCCATAGATTTGGTTTAAGAAATATATTTTTTCAATTTCATTTATGGCTAAGTTCTTTCTGTGTTTCTTGGCTCCTGTACTATTCCTTAATCCTCTGACTGTCGTAAGCCCCTTTCTGAAACTGTCATTCTATGTAGCAAAATTTTTGGAAAAAAAAAATTATTTTTTCTTATGAAATGATAGAGAATCTTTCCCTGATGGTAATGACACCAAAAGTACGAAATTTGGTCGAAAACTCACAGAATTACGGTCCCGCGAAGTTAGCGGTCTCGGCGACATATACGGATCGGCAATTTCGCTGACTTTGAGACCTGTTTTTAGCCAATTCTCTTGTTCCAGTTGATCAAACTCATAGCTATTTCTTTATAACTCTTTTTTTCTATTGACTGAGTACAAGAAACTGCCATTTACCAATTTGAACTACCCAATAAAGTGGTCAGAAATTGGCAATTTGGCCAATTTCACGCAAAGAAGATGCCAATTTTAAAATAGGGTCCAGAATAAACAATGTAGACATTCTTGGCACTAAAATAACACATCCTCTGTTCATTAGTCACGTCTCTAGGCCCCTCTTATATTACTATTGCTTTCTATTTTGATTTTTTATTCATACAAAAAATACAAAATTTACTGTTATGTAGACTACTGCATTATTGTAAAAATGGTATAAATAGTATCAGTGAACTAGTGAAAGAATGTAAGACTCCCCAGTTGACATGTACTGGACGTGTGGTGTGATTTGCCTACTCTTGAACACTGGTAATAATCGAACATTTCTTGAGTATACCTCAAGAGCTACAGCATTAATTTTTTCAAGGCAAAGGGTCAGATCCTTGTTGTTTAGGATATCTTCCCAGCTTCTTTCATTTAGGACATGGTTAATTTGATCCCACTGTATGCTTCTGTTATTGATGTTGAATTTGGTAAAAACACCCTCATAACTGATCTCATTTTGCTGGTCAGGAGCCCTGCACATACATGTCTGTATTTCTACTATGTTGTGATCTGAGTGTATTATCTTACTGTTATATTTTGTACCAGATCATCATTATTAGTGAAGAGAAGGTCAAGTGTATTTTTCAGTCTTGTTGGTTCCACTATTTGCCAGCTGAAGGTGAATTTGTTGCATAGATTTAATAGCTCATGTGTATGTGAATTATCACTGGAGCTGTCTCATGGATTATCTCTGCTAACACATTATTTGTCACATTTCTCCATTTTAGGTATCTTAAATTGAAATCACCCAGCAACAAAATATCTAGGGCTAGGGTTGGGAGATTTACCAGACTGTAGTCTGGTAAATCTCAAATTCCTCAAATTGTCGGGAAGTTGAATCAAGTGGCTTCTATACAACCACAATAACAAGGTTTGGTTTTCAATATTTACTGCTAAAACTTCAACTACATCTGTGGTGCTCAGTAATTCAGAGCACATGAGCAACTCAAGTGACATATAGGCCAATCCCCACCTTGTTGCCTGTTCTTTCTGTTGCAGCTGAATAAGCTATACCCTGGGATCCATATTTTGTTGTCAAAGTGATCCTTTGTGTGGATCTCTGTGAAAGCCGCAAACATTGCATTTGACTAAGTGAGCAGTCCACTGATGAAAGGCATTTTGTTGTTTGTTGATGGTTTTAGGCCCTGTATATTTGCAAGTACAAATGATGTCATACTGATGTATGTGGGGGGCTTTATTTGGCATTAATATCTGTTGTTCAGGCGTGGGAGCCATTGGCTGTGCCTCCACTCCAGTACTGGTCTGAGGTGTAGTTTGTCTGCCATTTCTTGCCAGCCTTTTTTCCTAAACAACAAGGATCTGACCCTTTGCTTAGAAAAAAATAACTCTGTGGCATATGAAGTATGCTCCAGGCACATTCCCATAAGAAAAAGAAGAGAAGATGTAAACTAGAGAGAGAGAGATGTTCCCTTTACAAGCGAAGGCATAAATCACAGCAGCTGAATGGGGCCAGTATATATAAAATACAGAAGGAGCCACTGGCCAGAGAAATAGAAAATATCGAACCTAAGCTTAAGGAATCATACATTAGCCAAAAGCAGGAAGAATTTAAAGTCATAAATGAAATCGAAAAAGAAAATTTCTTTTCCTATATTGAATCTTGGGCAAAAACCACATCCAGAATTGGGCCCCTGCTTAAACAAGATGAGATTTACACAGATGAGAGCAAAGAAATGAGTGAGATACTGAAGTCCAAAATGACTCGGCATTTAGTGAGCTATTAATCAAACTAAGGGTAGACTATCTCAATGAATAATTTTGACTGAGACCCAAAATTTGATTAATTCAAGAATTTCTGATATAATCCTAACACCACAGGATTTTGAAAAAGCAATAAATGACATGCCCATGCACTCTGCTCTAGGTCCAAACCCGTGAAACTCTGTGTTCATCAAGAACTGCAAGAAACCCCTTTCACATACCTTAAATATTCTATGGAAAGAGAGCATAAACTCAGGGGTCATCCCAGAGTCACTAATAGCAAGAGACATAGCCCCACTCCACAAAGGTGAACTGGGGGCTATATCTCTTGTTTGTAAAGCAACTGCAAAGAATTACAGACAGATAGCACTAATGTCCCACATCATAAAAATATTTGAGAGGGTTTTAAGAAGCAAAATCAACAACCACTTGGATACTCATCAGTTGCACAACCCAGAGAAGCATGGGTTTAGAGCAGGTCACTCCTGCCTCTCACAACTACTGGATCACTATGACATGGTCTGGAAAACAATCAAATTGCAGACGTAGTATATAAAGACTTGGTGAAAGCCTTTAACAAGTGCGACTATGGTGTATAATAGCATACAAAATGCGTGACAAAGGATAACAAGAAACGCTGGTAGATGGCTCTATAACTTCCTAACAAATAGAACATTGAGTAATAGTAAACAAAGTAAAGTCAGAGACAGCTACAGTGAAAAGTTCTGTTTCACAAGGTACAGTACTCGCTCCCATCCTTTTCCTCATGCTCATATCTGACATAGACAGAGATGTAAGCCACAGCACCATGTCCTTTTTTCCTTATACCAAAATCTGAATGACAGTGTCATCCATCAAGGACACTGCAAATCTCCAAGGTGACATTAACCAAGTCTCGAAATGGGTGTCAGAAAACAATATGAAGTTCAATGAAGACAAATTTCAATTACTCCACTACGGAAAACATGAGGAAAGAAAAGTTGGATAGGAATATTAAACAAATTCCAACCACACACTAGAGCAAAAAATTAATGTCAGAGAATCTCACTTTTTAAAGATCACAACAATGTATCTACTACATCTGCTAGGAAAATGATAGGATGGATAAAGAGAACTTTCAAAACTAGGGATGCCAAGCCAATGATAATTCTCTTGAAATCACTTGTTTTCTAATCTTGAATTTTGCTGTACACTAACAGCCCCTTTCAAGGCAAGAGAAATTGCAGACCTGGAGAATATACAGAGAACTTTCACTGCATGTATAAGTACTATAGAGCACCTAAATTACTGGGAACAGTTGAATTCCCTTGACCTGTACTCCTTGGAATGCAGGCAAGAAAGATACATGATAATATACACTTGGAATCCTATAGGGTCTAGTCCCAAATCTGCACACAGAAATCACTTCCTACGAAAGCAAAAAGATTTGGCAGACGTAACATCCACCCCAATGAAAAGCAGGGGTGCTATGAGTGCGCTAAGAGACAATACAATGTCTTCAAAAGGGAGCTGGACAGAGACCTAAAGCCAGTACCTGACCAGCTGGGTTGTGGTTTGTACATTAGTTAGAGTGTGGCCAAAAGTAACAGCCTGGTTGATCAGGCCCTGATCCACTGTGAAGCCTGGTCATGGACCGAGTTGCCAGGGCTTTAACCCTAGGAATACCCTCCAGGTATACTCCAGGTGTAATATACAAGGCCCCATGTTAGCCCTCTGTCCCATTTAACCCCAGTGTATGTCACCACACAGACTCTCTCTCCACCAGGTAAACATCAGCGAGCTTCAAAAGCTGACCAAATATGGAGAAGTAAATAATGTTGCTTGGAATGCAGTACACATTCCACTCTGCTTAGTAATGAAAATCAGTGCAATTGATAAAGGCAATATATTTTAATCATAACCTAAATTTTTGCAAGTCTTCCATGTCATATCAAGTTACTGTTCTTTCAATGCTTGAGTTTTCATCAGAGTATTGTGCAGTAGAACCCCCGTATCCACAGATTAAGTTTCCTTAGTTTCAGTTATCCAGGGTTTACTGTGGCCCCCCCCCAAAAAAAAAAAGCCTTAATTTTGATTAATAATGTTCAAAGCCTAAGAGAAGCCATGAAGTGCCTCCCATCAATTAAAAAGTGCTAATTCTCCACTTACTGTGTGTAAATTATCAATTAAACTTCATCATAGGTATGTATGTAAATGAAAAATGACTTATACATAGGGTTCACTACTATCCACAATTTTGGGTATGCATGGTAGGTCTTGGAACACATCCCATATGGATACTGGGGACTACTGTATTTTAAACCCTTACCTGATCAACATTAGTAAGTGACCTAACAACTGTCCTAATTTGGTCATCAGTGGAAGCAATTTTTAACCTCATCTCCTCCAGTACATCATCAATATGGTGGAGAGACTGCTCAGCTGGGAACCGTGTATTGATGTACTCTACTGTATTAAAATCTGGGGCATCAAAAGGATCATCACTCGGAAGAATCTGAAAAACAAAAATCTGATTAACAGAGCATCAAATAATATCACACAAAATATAACAATAATAATAACAATATCATGGACCAACTCCTATCACACTTCCATTCTCATTTCTGCCTGTTCTATTTCCAGCTTTTGCTCTCAAGGTTCACCACCTACACTGTAGCTACCTTTTATATCGTTTCTGTCAATTCAACTTTAACAGTTTTCTTACCAAATGCATTCATACTGTGTGTATGCAAGGTGATAAAAGTAACAAAAATACTGGTAATGAAAGATTGGATATCAGATTGGAAGGAGCATGGAGGAAGTAAATGTATTCAGATATTTGGGAGTGGACTTGGCAGTGGATGGGTCTCTGAAAGATGAGGTGAACCAATGGAAAGACAAGGAAAACAAGGTGGGTGGTGCACTGAGGCATCTGTGGAGAAAAAGTCCATTATCAATGAAGGCAAAAAGGTTGTATGCACTATAAAATGTAAACTAATATAATTTTTTACAGCTGGAAACCATGTATTGATGTACTCTACTGTATTAAAATCTGGGGCATCAAAACAATCATCACTTGGGAGAATCTGAAAAAAACAAAAATCTGATTAACAGAACATCAAATATTATTACACATAAAATATAATAATAATAATAATAATAATAATAATAATAATAATAATAATAATAATAATAATAATAATAATATTTTTTTATTATCACACTGGCCGATTCCCACCAAGGCAGGGTGGCCCGAAAAAGAAAAACTTTCACCATCATTCACTCCATCACTGTCTTGCCAGAAGGGTGCTTTACACTACAGTTTTTAAACTGCAACATTAACACCCCTCCTTCAGAGTGCAGGCACTGTACTTCCCATCTCCAGGACTCAAGTCCGGCCTGCCGGTTTCCCTGAATCCCTTCATAAATGTTACTTTGCTCACACTCCAACAGCGCTTCAAGTATTAAAAACCATTTGTCTCCATTCACTCCTATCAAACACGCTCACGCATGCCTGCTGGAAGTCCAAGCCCCTCGCACACAAAACCTCCTTTACCAGCGACAGTATGAAAACGACATAGCATCGAAAGTCAAATCTGACCCGAAACTGCTGTATAGCCACATTAGGAGGAAGACAACAGTCAAGGACCAGGTGATAAGGCTGAGGAAAGAAGGTGGAGAACTCACAAGAAATGATCAAGAGGTATGTGAGGAGCTCAACACGAGATTTAAGGAAGTATTTACAGTAGAGACAGGAAGGCCTCTGGGGGGACAGACCACATGAGGACACCAGCAAGGAATACACCAACAATTATTGGACGACATACATACAGATGAGGAGGAGGTGAAGAAACTGCTAAGGGACATAGATACCTCAAAGGCAATAGGACCGGACATCATCTCCCCGTGGGTCCTTAGAGAGGGAGCAGATATGTTGTGCGTGCCACTTACCACAATCTTCAACACGTCCCTGGAAACTGGGCAACTACCTGAGGTATGGAAGACTGCAAATGTAGTTCCCATTTTTAAAAAAGGAGACAGAAAAGAGGCACTAAACTATAGACCTGTGTCATTGACGTGTATAGTATGCAAAGTTATGAAGAAGATTATCAGGAGGAGAGTGGTGGAGCACCTGGAACGAAACAAGAGTATAAATGCCAACCAGCACGGATTCATGGAAGGCAAATCCTGTGTCACAAACCTTCTGGAGTTTTATGATAACAGAAGTAAGACACGAGAGAGAGGGGTGGGTTGATTGCATCTTCTTGGACTGCAAGAAGGCCTTTGACACAGTTCCTCACAAGAGATTAGTGCAGAAGCTAGAGCATCAGGCGCATATAACAGGAAGGGCACTGCAATGGATCAGAGAATACCTGACAGGGAGGCAACAACGAGTCATGGTACGTAATGATGTATCACAGTGGGCACCTGTGACGAGCGGGGTCCCACAGGGGTCGGTCCTAGGACCAGTACTATTTTTGGTATATGTGAACGACATGATGGAAGGGTTAGACTCAGAAGTGTCCCTGTTTGCAGATGATGTGAAGTTAATGAAGAGAATTAAATCAGATGAGGACCAGGCAGGACTTCAAAGAGACCTGGACAGACTGGACACCTGGTCTAGCAAATGGCTTCTCGAATTTAATCCTGCCAAATGCAAAGTCATAAAGATAGGGAAAGGGCACAGAAGACCACAGACAGAGTATAGGCTAGGTGGCCAAAGACTGCAAACCTCACTCAAGGAGAAAGATCTTGGGGTGAGTATAACACCGAGCATATCTCCGGACGCACACATCAACCAGATAACTGCTGCAGCATATGGGCGCCTGGCAAACCTGAGAACAGCATTCCAATACCTTAGTAAGGAATCGTTCAAGTCACTGTACACCGTGTATGTCAGGCCCATACTGGAGTATGCAGCACCTGTTTGGAACCCGCACTTGATAAAGCACGTCAAGAAACTAGAGAAAGTACAAAGGTTTGCGACAAGGTTAGTTCCAGAGCTAAGGGGAATGTCCTATGAAGAAAGATTAAGGGAAATCGGCCTGACGACACTGGAGGACAGGAGCGTCAGGGGAGACATGATAACGACATATAAAATACTGCATGGAATAGACAAGGTGGACAAAGACAGGATGTTCCAGGGAGGGGACACAGAAACAAGAGGCCACAATTGGAAGTTGAAGACACAAATGAGTCAGAGAGATATTAGGAAGTATTTCTTCAGTCATAGAGTTGTCAGGCAGTGGAATAGCCTAGAAAATGACATAGTGGAGGCAGGAACCATACACAGTTTTAAGACGAGATTTGATAAAGCTCAGGGAGCGGGGAGAGAGAGGGCCCAGTAGCAACTGGAGAAGAGGCGGGGCCAGGAGCTAAGACTCGACCCCTGCAACCACAAATAGATGAGTACATATAGGTGAGTACCCCCTCCCTCCAACCTTTCCTAGGCCGACCCCTACCCCGCCTTCCTTCCACTACAGACTGATGCACTCTTGAAGTCATTCTGTTTCGCTCCATTCTCTCTACATGTCCGAACCACCTCAACAACCCTTCCTCAGCCCTCTGGACAACAGTTTTGGTAATCCCGCACCTCCTTCTAACTTCCAAACTACGAATTCTCTGCATTATATTCACACCACACATTGCCCTCAGACATGACATCTCCACTGCCTCCAGCCTTCTCCTCGCTGCAACATTCATCACCCATGCTTCATACCCATATAAGAGTGTTGGTAAAACTATACTCTCATACATTCCCCTCTTTGCCTCCAAGGACAAAGTTCTTTGTCTCCACAGACTCCTAAGTGCACCACTCACCCTTTTCCCCTCATCAATTCATTACCTGTAAATATAAAAGAAACACTACCTGTTTACAAATTCAAGTCTCTTCTCAAAGATCACTTACTCACCCAAAACCAAATAAATACTGAATAACTGAACCTTATAAATTGTATATCTTAAATGTTTCTCACAATTATATCACATAAATGTTAAACCTAAAACCCAATCTAACAGAATACTCCATTCGACAGAATGTACAGCAATGCATGCAACCATATGACCTGTCTTTGTAATACTCATTTGTGCTTTATAGTTATCTGTTTACAATAATGTCTTATCACTGATTTCATCACTGCTTAGTTAATCTTAAGTTAATTTTAAGCCAGCCCGTAATGCTATGCATATAAGTGGCTTTGACATGCTGCTCTTACCTGTATTTTTTTGTACCTCTGTATGTATGCTCAAATTACTAAATAATAAATAAATAAATAAATAAATCTTTCATAGACCCATCCGCTGACACGTCCACTCCCAAATACCTGAATACATTCACCTCCTCTATACTCTCTCCTTCCAATCTGATATCCAATCTTTCATCACCTTATCTTTTTGTTATCCTCATAACCTTACTCTTTCCTGTATTCACTTTTAATTTTCTTCTTTTGCATACCCTACCAAAATTCATCCACCAATCTCTGCAACTTCTCTTCAGAATCTCCCAAGAGCACAGTGTCATCAGTAAAGAGCAACTGTGACAACTCCCACTTTATGTGTGATTCTTTATCTTTTAACTCCACGCCTCTTGCTAAGACCCTCGCATTTACTTCTCTTACAACCCCATCTATAAATATATTAAACAACCACGGTGACATCACACATCCTTGTCTAAGGCCTACTTTTACTGGGAAATAATTTCCTTCTTTCCTACATACTCTAACTTGAGCCTCACTATACTCGTAAAAACTCTTCACTGCTTTCAGTAACCTACCTCCTATACCATACACCTGCAACATCTGCCACATTGCCCCCCTATCCACCCTGTCATACGCCTTTTCCAAATCCATAAATGCCACAAAGACCTCTTTAGCCTTATCTAAATACTGTTCACTTATATGTTTCACTGTAAACACCTGGTCCACACACCCCCTACCTTTCCTAAAGCCTCCTTGTTCATCTGCTGTCCTATTCTCCGTCTTACTCTTAATTCTTTCAATAATAACTCTACCATACACTTTACCAGGTATACTCAACAGACTTATCCCCCTATAATTTTTGCACTCTCTTTTGTCCCCTTTGCCTTTATACAAAGGAACTATGCATGCTCTCTGCCAATCCCTAGGTACCTTACCCTCTTCCATACATTTATTAAATAATTGCACCAACCACTCCAAAACTATATCCCCACCTGCTTTTAACATTTCTATCTTTATCCCATCAATCCCGGCTGCCTTACCCCCTTTCATTTTACCTACTGCCTCACGAACTTCCCCCACACTCACAACTGGCTCTTCCTCACTCCTACAAGATGTTATTCCTCCTTGCCCTAGTACCGAACTTGCACATGAAAATCACTCACTACGAAAGCAAAAGACTTGGCAGACGATGCACCATCCCCCCAATGAAAAGCAGGGGTGTCACTAGCACGTTAAGAGACCATACAGTAAGTGTCAGGGGCCCAAGACTGTTCAACTGCCTCCCAGCACACATAAGGGGGATTACCAACAGACCCCT